AAAAAAAAAAAAAAAAAAAAAAAAAAATTAAAGGCCTTTCATTTTAATAACAAAGAGCCCATTAATTATTCATTTGCCTTTGGTACTATTGAAATATATGGAGAGTAAATACTCAAAATATGCCAATTTGAGAATTGAGAAGAGAATTTAAAGGAATTTCTGTTGTCATTCTTAAAATGTCCAGAAGAAGACACTTATAGCAATATAAACCACAGCTGGCTGCTTCTGTTTGGTATTATCTGTTCCCTGAAGTAGATGCTAGAGGTGGTTTGAAGAGGAGAGTGATATAATGCACTGTTGGCATTTTGCTAGGCTCCAATGCCGGAAAAGTAGATTGATGTTGGAATTCTTATAAATAATTACATGCCTTACTGATGGTAAAATAATAGCCACCTTTGAGATTATTTATTGGTATTTATAGTTGTGCAACTGCAAGCCTAATTTAGTAAGCTTTGCATTGCTGAAGCCTGCCATTGTTACAGATAACTTAGGATAAACTATAACTGATGACTCTTTATATATCTAACTTTTCAGATACAAATAGCTCGAAACAACTTCTTTCTCTTGAAGATAGTACTAGATTCACTTTTCACTTTCACTCAATCCATTATGACACTATGTTTTATCTTGTGTTATAATGCCTGAGGAATTATCTTGATTTATCTTGGGTAAGCATGCATTCAAAGTGAGAATGGTTGCAATCATAAGAAATCTTTGGGCAGACACAGGACACAATACTAAGATCGATTCATCATCATCATCATTATCATTACCATCATCGTTAACATCACCATCACCAACAGTTTGTAAGGCGATCCTTACTTCATCCTTCTTACATTCTTGTGAGGTACATGTAGCTTCACGATTAGTTGTTTAAAATCCTTGAGTTCAGCTATTTTCTGGGATACACGATGTCTTTGAAGTCTAGCAAGGTAATTAGTGCAGATGCCGTGTGATATACTGCGCTCCTGCGGGGCCTGGGGGAGGCACCTCATCTGCAAGGCTTAGTGTTTCTGCAGGCAGATGTGAATAGTTACACCAAACAGAATAAAGAAAAACCACGAACATGCTCATGTGAATTCAGATCAGCTCTGGCCACCAAATGAATTTGAGCCTCATCTTAAGAAAACATTTTTGTTCTTTTCTCAGCTTTTTTTGTATTTTGAAATTGAGGTTAAGGAAATAGAAAACTGTGCTAGTACAGTCCCTTTTTAGAGAGAATCAACAGGCCTGGAGAAGTGAAGAAACTTGTCCATTGTTATACAGTAAAGGGCAAAGCAAGGCTGTGACTGTAGCAGTTTGAAAGACTAGCTGGACCTATACATACTAAAGTGGCGATGTTTCTATGAAGACTCTACACTAAAAAGATACTCAGCCTCTAGCAGCAGAAAGAAACTCGTTTGTAAAGAATAACACATATAATATTGTGCCATTTTTGGGAAAAATTTCTATTCCTATATATAAACATTTTAGAGAATGATTTAGAAATACATTCACTAGATTCTTGATAGAATATACCTCTGATGGGTAGGAAATATAAAGTCACAATAATTAAGAATACCTTTACATTTTTACCATACACACATCTGTGTTATTTCTATTTTTAAATGGTGAATACATGTGTAATGGAAAAGTGGGAGGAAAAAGCTAATGACAGGTAAGCAATTTTTAATGTCGCTTCAGAAAGCTAAAAAGCTCGGTGCCTGCTGATCCTGCCACACAGAATGCAGAATCCCTTCTTTTCATTGTCATTCACGCATTACACTGGCTACTCGGGCAGTGTAATTATTTTTCTGTTTTCTGTAGATAGTCGGTTTTCTCAAAGGTACATAAGAACAGCATTTCAGACAGAATGAATGGGGCTTAGCCAGGTGAAATATCACCCGTGGAATATCATGTTCAAGCCGAGCCAGGGTTGAGGCATCATTTCTTGGCCCGCAGGCAGTTAGCAATGTGCTGAGTGAACTGACAGTGTGAGGGGGCCACCAGCAATGTGGATGTGATCTTCAGCTCTGTCCCCGGAACACAGTATTTAGAATGTGACAAGGAGTCAAATCTCACTGTATCCAGACCATGGCTGGGGTCTTGTCTCCAGTGCTGGGTGCTGTATTTTAAAGCGATGCAAGCAGTGTGAAATCTTTCCTAGGCAGGCTGGCCGAGAGAGGTCGAGGGATTTGGAATCATGTCCTAGTGGCACACGTGACGTCACTGGGCAAGCTTAGCCTATTGAGTGTTTTGTCAGCTTGTAGCAATATTTGACTCTCTTAACTTCTCAGATGAGTAATTTCAGCCCAGAGTTTATAGATTAGCAGTCTCTACCACATGGTGAGTGTTTAGGGTACAGAGGTGAAAAAATGTGGACTTTGCCCTCCCTGGGCTCTGAGTGTGTAGAGGATAAAGCCATGTGCACAACTCTGCAAACAGCTTGAAGGATAGCAGCACTTAGTTAATCCACAGGCACCATGGAAAATCACAGCTAAATCTTCCTGTAGTGGTGGGAGATGGGGTGGGTGGTCAGGCCTTCAGAGGGAACTTGAACTCTGAGCTGGATTTTGAAAATGAAATGTGTTTCAGGGAGTGTCTTTAAGAAGTGTGATAAAAAACACAGTGAATGCTGCCACTGAGTATCATCAGACAGGAAAGCAGAGTCATAGAATCATTATGTTATGTCTTATCCACCTCATTCACCAGATCTGAATGACCATGACAGGTAACCATTCTGGGTCAGTTCAGGTCCTCAAGGCAGAGGGGACAGCACAAGTAAAGACGTTCACAAAAGAGGACTTCTGGGACTGCTTCAGAAAGTGGAAAGATCGATGGGATAAGCGTGTTCAAAGTCAGGGGAAGTATTCTGAGGGGGGTTAATGGCAGTGTGTCTTCTACTGTAATAATTTGAAATATTGTTGTATTAGTACATGTTGGGAGTAACATTTGCCATATTTTTTGATTACACTGTATTTGTAAGAGTAACAGGTATAAGAAGAATTGAAATCATTTAGTGCAACCTCACAGGCTTGGGATCAGTTGGGTTAGGGTGTAGGAAGACAGATTTAGCCTCAATTTTAAAAGTTTTTAATAGAGCTGTCCAAAGATTGTCCAGAGTTTCCAGTCCCCAGCTGTGTGAAAAAAACCAGGCAAGTCATTTTTTTGGTTAGCTGTACTGCAAGAGAGTGGGTCACTCAGACAGAATGAAGTTAAGGAAGGGTTTAGGGGCATAAAGTTCTGGGGTCAGACTCCTAGACCTGACTTTTCTACCTGCTGGCTCTGTGACCTTAACTGGGCTGATGATAATTAACTTTAAATGGCTCAGAACAGCAGCTGGTACAGTGACTACTAAGTAAGTCGCTAACAAATATTAGATATTATTGTTGTCAGTGGTGGTTAGTTGATGTGCTCTTTAACATTCCTCTTACCTTGATATTTAAAGTTCTAATTGTGTAATTATGTGACAGTATTCGGGTGAATTAAGAAGGTGGTAATGAGGAAATAGAAGCAAAAATAGAGCTGTTACCATCAACTCAGCAAAGACTTGAGGAAAACTACCTATAGTTGAGCAGGAGTACATTGCCCTAGTCATTCTCTTGGTCTGTCCTTTCTGGGCCTTCCAAGTTTTCCACTGCCCACCCAGAATATTTTTGGAGGGGCTGATGCTGCGTGATTCTCCCCAGCTTGTGTTTTCCTTTTTCTTGTAGATACAGTGGCTTCCTGAATAGGAATGCCTTCCCTGATAAAGAGACTGGATATAATGGACGAAGATCAATTAATGGAAGAAGTCTTGGCTAAGTTTATTAATTCTCATGAGCAGACGTATGAAGAATTTCTGAGCACTTTCACTCATCTTTCAAAAGGTAAAATGGAGAAGTAAACTTTCTACCGCAGCAGAGATAAAATTTATATTATACATTTATTTATGTCAGTACTGCCTTTTAAGAAATATTATTTCATTAGCATTCATGCAGTTCTTTAATGAGATAATTCTTATTAGGGCATGTGTGACTGACTTGTGTAAATTCCAATGTCTTTCCACATCTACGAGCTGTATTATGGCGTCAGAGCCATTGAACTTGTTAACTAAAAATATCCTGAGATATTATTCAATGTAATTACTTATTTTATTTTTTAAGAAATGCAAATGAAAGAGTCCTGGTTGTTAAAAGAATATTTAAAATGTAAACCCTGGGCACATTTGGATTCTGGTGTCACCACTTACTGGCTATGTGATCTGGGCGTGCATGACTGTTTGAAGGGGAAAAATTATAATACCTCCCATCAGTGTTGATAAAGGCTTTGTTGAAGTAATCCATGGAAAATGTAGCTTAGTGATTAGCACATAGCAAGCACTGGGGAGAGCTAAGTATTGTTATTGTTGTGAAGGTCATGATGATGATGATGATGATTGTTGTGAAGGTCATGATGCTGCTGCTGCTGCTGATTTGATGATGCTATGATTTCTGTAAATAGGAAATAACACTTTAGACCCATGGTAATGACCTGGGGCCTAAAGGCCAAATCCATGCTGTCTTTCTTTGTATGTCTTACCTGCCCTATATAGTGTTGGTATTTTTAATTAAGTCAACACCTAAAAGTTGGATAATGGTACATGGAAGTCTAGATTTGTGTCATTTCACCTGATGATGTGAGATGTGTTACTTATGAAGGGTCTGGCAGTGTCAGCTGGAGCTCAGGACCCCAGTCCCAGGAGCTCTATAGCTTGTCGTGCTGTCACACTCAGTATGAAAATAATGTGCATACGTTGTATGCTTTGTTCATCTAAATAGCACTTAGGGACACTAGAGTTGTAATCTTTGTTCTGGGTTCTGCCTCAGATCATTGTTGCCTTGCTCTCAGCCATGGTCCTTTCTTGGCTGTTGATCCACATTTGATGATCTCCTTGAAGTTATTGGTTCTCCAGCTGTGCATTAGACTCACCTGGAGAGTGTTTGGAATGCACTGGTGCCAGAGTCTACTCTGAAGCTGTTCTAGGACTAAGGATGTGGTATTTTTTGAAGACTTTTCTGGCAATTCTAATGTGTACGCAAGGGTGAGGAGGGGAGGTTTATAATTTCCAAGGTCAATGACCCTCTTAGGAAACCTGTGCTCATGTTTGTAAGTGGCAATTCATGTATTTTAAACAAATATAAAAGAGAAGTAGGTATAATGAACATACACAGTATAGGTTGAGTCTCACTAATCTGAAAATCTGAAATCTGAAATGCTTTAAAATCTAAAACTTTTTGAGCACCAACATGATGCAACAGCTAGAAAATTCCACTCTTGATCTCATATGACAAGTCAAAGTTAAAACATGGGTACACTGAAAAAAAAACTATTGTATAACATTATGTTCTGGCTAAGGTATATATCAAATACAGATGAATTTATAAATGTTTTGATTTGGGACCCATCCCCTAGATATCTCATTATGTATATGCAGGTATTCCAAAATATGAACAAATCTGAAATTCAAAACACTTCTGGTTGTAAGCACTTTAAATACAGATACTCAACCCATAGAATAACATTGGTATCTATTTTGTTTATACTTAAACAAAAAACATGGACTTTACATTTCATTTACAGTTATTGGAAATGGAGAATTTAGGATTATCAAACTAACTTTGGGACTGTCTATGAATGATCTGTTTTGATATGCTATGTAGGTGAAATTAATCCTGAGAATAGCAAATCATCTTTTAGTTTATGAATTTAGGTTTAGAAGCACGCTTGCTTTTTCTGAGCCTAATGATCAAATTCCTGTTTTCTGGACTCAAGGATAAAACTGGCAGAATTAATGAATTTTGGTATGCCAATGGTGTTTTGAATATTCAGATTATTTTGGAAATTACTTGTGTGGCTAATTTCATTTTTGTACCCTGGAAGTTTGATATTTTAAGCCAGAAGTTTAATATTTTAAGGGGTTATACTATATTTTTTGGGGGGACAGGGGTCTAGTCTGGTTTCACATTCTGGTGTGATCATTGCATGCACAGAGAAAACTGATGCAGATGTGGTGATTTAATTTTGAGTTCAGTCTAGGGCCCAAAATTGAGCTGAAATAAATGATGATGCAAGTCACATAAACTGTATCTCCAAGCACACAAATTGTTTTTTCCTTTCAAAACATCCCTAGGCACTGGTTCACATTATAAACTAATGACCTGAAAAAATTCCTCTTAAAGCATAAAGAGTGTGTGAGTGCAAAAACATGCCTTAAATCAGGAGTGTGTCTTCTTTTCTTCTGAAACATTTCAATACCATCTGAAAAGCCAAATAGGACTTAGGGACAGACCTAAGAGCTGAATGTTAGCTTAGAGATTTGATCTAGGTTAATATAGTCAGTTCTAAAAACATGAAGGCTCTTCCTTCAAAGTTCTGATCATGTCCCCTATCCCTTGCTTCCCAGGTCCTTCATTTGTCTCAATGTATTTGGTTGTTTTGCTGACTTGCCGTTAATCTTTTCTCTGTAAAAATGTTTATCACTATGTATACTTATGTACATTTCCTTAGAAAGTTCAGTTTTTCAAGTCCATTACCATTTCTACTGATTGACTGTTCTATTTATTTTTATAATAGTTATATGCCAGAATGCTTATGGGATTCATTTTCTTTCCAAGAGTGTTAAAAGGGTCAGTAATCCTATTAAAAAATTTTCCCTGGAAAAATTAAATTACAGTCTTATTGAAAGAAATTCACATTACTTCTTTAGACTCTTACAAAACAGTTGGAAACTTAATATGTCAGCGTAATTCTCTCTATAGTACATTTTTGTGATCACATTTTGGAGCTTTTTCTTTTTAAAAAAATTCTAGGTCTTTGAACAGTGGTACATATTTGTTCATAAGTACAATGCTCTGTTGAAATATTTAAAGAGACATACATATTAGTTTTAAACAGATAGTTTTAATTGATTCTCAGTAGTATCTTCAGTTCAAGAGGATAAATTGAATTGTTAGAAAATCAGAATACAGATTTTGTTTTTTCATTATTATTGAAGACATTATATTGTTGACAGTGTTGATAAAGATAAGTGCTAGATTTCAATCTTCTGTATCTTAGTTTCTTTGTGAACATAGGTACTTTGTAGAGCTTTCTAAAATACCTGGGGGGAAAGGCCTTTTCCTATTTGTCACATTTTTATCTTTTTCTTAGATTCTAAAAATACAGGTGTGAATACTTACATTTGATTTTTTTTGGTTAATGCAGTAATTCATTTATTCCTTTATTAGTTCTTTGAGTATCTTTTTATGGTCTAGGTATTATTTTAGGGGCTGAGGATTAAAAAATAAATGGAGTATAATTTTTATTTTGAGGTCCTTATAGTCCAGTGAGAGATAAAACAAACAAGGAGGAAATCACACCAATACGTAAGTACAGGGGTGAAGATAGGCTCTGTGCTATGAGAGATTATAGGGGGACCCCAGCCAATAGTTGAGGCGAGACAATAAAGGTTCCCCATCAGCTTTCGCTCCTCCCCAGATCACCAGCATCACCCTCAGCAGATACTGGACAGCCACCAAGCTCTTGGATTTTCCAGAGTATGAGCTAAAGGAACCTCTTTTTATAAAGTATCTAGACTCAGGTATTTTGTTACAGCAACAGGAAACAGGCTTAAAATGAGTGTGGGACAACCATGGAAGTATAACTTGCCTTGTCTCCCAAGACACTGAGAAGAGCCTGGGAAGATTTGACAGATAATAAGCTGAAGAATGACACATTAAATGCCTCCATGTCATGGTTTCCATTGGTTTTAGTACATATTTCTCTTTTATACAGCTAGACTTTTAAACAGGAAGTCTCCCAGATGAAGATGTAGCCTTGCTTCAGTAGGATTTATGGTTAATTACTTCTGAACTTCTGGAAGAAAAAGGCAATTTCTTTTTAATTTCCTTCCATATCAGGATGACTACATGGTCTGATATTAGAAGCGTTTGCTCAGGTGATGGCTGCTACTCATGTTGCTGTCACACAGAGATTATGTTACTAAGAAGAAACTCAGAAAATGACATTGCACGTCTTTTCAACTCTGTTTTGTTACATATGGCAATGTTGGGGTAATGCTGTAAACCTATGGTGTTGGATGCTGAAAGTGGCTTGTTCTCCACAGGTTCATGTGTTGGTACCCAATGTGGTAGTATCAAGGTCGTGTAATCTTTGAGGGGTGCAGCCTGTGTGAGGTAATTAGGTCATTGGAGGTGCTGCACTTAGAAGGGATTAGACCTCCTTGGTCTTTGGCTTACTTTTTTTTTTTTTTT